CAAAATATGTAATCAAAATAAAATACGAGTCTTGTCTGTGCTCCGTCTTCTCAAAACCTGGTCATCGTACCTGTCTATTGGTGACCTGAGAATACAAGTTATTTTGAAAGCGAGTATCAGCATAATGCTGGTGATATCATAAGTATTTAAGTGTCATTACCCTGTTTTGGAAAGCTGTTATGAATGCCATGTAAACCGTTGAATGAAACATTTGATATAAGTATGAAAACCCTATAAAATCCCATATTTCCTACTAGTATAAGAGTAGTCTTCTACCAAGACCCAAATGTTTTGAAAGTAGTCTTCTACCAAGATCTGAATGTTTTGCTGTAACAAAGATGGTTTTTCCCTTGTATGACTACTATTAAGAATATATAGTCTACTCATCGTTTATGTGAATGTATCACAAAATAAAAGTAATAGGGAAAAATATAGCTATATAAGTATTATCCTTTGTATTAGGATAAACACGACATCGCGACTGCCGAAAAGTATTAACCTTGAACATCCGTAGATGTTCATTTTCCTCTGTAGCTAACAACAGGTCGAGGGAATGGTTAGTCCCATAAAGGTACCCCTAGTATAAGTATTAACCGTAGGCATCCGTAGATGTTCATTACCTCTGTTGCTAACAGGTGGTTGCCGGAATGGTTAGTCCCGTATAGTATCCTTTTGTACTAGGATACAAAGAACTAAACTACACGTATGATATGTAATAGTATCTCATCATATAGTATATAGGTACAAGTATCCATGTAAGTGTATCCATGTAAGTGTATCTCTTCATATTGCATTTAGTATAGACTCATGAATGAACTGACTCTGGTATAATTCCTTGTAATAGGAATAATGTTTTCTATCTCTTAACTATCCCTATAATAGTTTACTGGAAGGTAATTGATGTCCAATAAGGTTTATACACCCTTGCTACACAAGAGTGTGGGAACTGAATGAAGGATGAAACTTATCATATCAATACATATATATAAGAGCATAAGTGTATAGATATAGTTTTGATCAAGAAGATGAAAATGGTTTTGTAAGAAATTTAAGAGTTTTGAACAATAAATAACAATGACTTGATGTCATTTTAAGAAAACATTTCAAAAGTAATACATTTGATAACAAAGTATTTTTATGATAGAAAATCATTTAATGCTTCACATTTTGAAGCATGTGAAATCAATTGGACGAAAACATAGTTATAAATCACATGTGATTGATTCATTAACATGCTGTTTTCTACTTGTATCCCCCCCCCCCCATTAAAGCATTTAAATCATTTAAAACATTGATTAAGGGGTATGAACTCACCTTTAGATGGTGGTTTGGATGAACTGAATGATGTAGGATAGCTAGGTGTCAAGTGAAGACTTGTTCACACCCAATGATCCAAGTTAACATATAATCACACATATATGTATTCAATTAAACTTTAAACCACTAATTGACAAATTTAAGACATCCTAAGGCATGTAAAACACCTTATATATGTGCTATGAGTCATAAGGATTGCATCTAAGTGCTAAAGGACCTTGCTATTGTGTTTGGGGTTCAAGGGTAAACTCCTTTGGATTTTATGGTTTTCACGACCATTACCCAATGAGTTTACGGTCCTAAACTCAAGAGTTTATGGTCGTAAACTCATCACTCTTTGACCATAAGTTTTTTTGAGGTTTTACAAGTCCTTTAAAGCATTTCCACTTGATGGTTAGGCCTTTGGAAGAGATTATGGCATCATTACACTCCTTTGAGGAGTTTACGGCCTCAAGACCATTTCCTTTTGGGTTTACTACCGTAAACCCATATGGAAAGTGGTATTTTCATGTTTTCAAGTCCTATACACAGTAAGGAGTGGATCTAGACTAGTTTCACAAGGAAGGAAGGGACTAAGGCACACTTTTGGCCCTTAAAGAAGGGTTTACGGTTCAAGGAGTTCTTGAACCATAAACACCTTTGATCTTGGTGTTTCCTTGACTTTCTTTGATGTATAGAAGTATAACAAGCCTTACAATACACTAGGTTAGGAATACTTACTAGTTGAAAGCTTGAAAGGTACCAAAAGGCCAATAACACTAGTGTGTGTTCTTGGTGTAAATTGAAGAATCAACCTTTTGGAATGATTTCACAGTTAGAAGTGTGTTAAATCACTAGATTAAGTGATATACTAACTTGAAAGGGTTAGAAACACTTACTAGAAGAAGATTTGGACGAAATATTTGGATGATACTTCAGAGAGTTTGGGATTTGGATCTTGAAAGTTGGAAAAGTGATAAAAATAACTAAGTGACACTTTTATACCACTTCCCATTAGGGTTTACGACCATAAACTCCTTGTTTACGTCGTAAACTCTAAACTTTTGATGTTTTGAAAGTTTATTGTGGCATAATAAACCCTAGGGTATCCTCTCTCCTGATATCTCCTAAAGTGTAAATCTTGAAATACTCAAACTTATTCCAAAAAGTCCGAAAATTAACAGTAACTATTCTGACTTCTATTGACTTGATATGTTGTACAGAATAGAAATTTCGGGTTGTCACAATTTGAAAGGAAAGAAAAAGGCATTAATTTTGGGCACAAAGGGGAATAATGGTCTTATTTCACTCGTAAGCTATTTTTTAGCTTTAAGAGACTGGTGATTGAGTAAAATACAAGAAGTTTAAAAAAAAAAGTCGGTTGCAGACCCTAGTCGCACGTTATTTCTTAATGGACGCAGTAAGAGTTGAAACATTCTTTTTTTTTTAAAGGCATATCCCAAACATGGAAAATGAAAATATACATTTATAATGCATTTCGTGAAATGTCTGCGACGACATAGTGTCACTTTCTTTTTTAGGTTAGAGGTACCTGGGTACCTCCAAGATCATGGCTCCTCGTCATGCGGTACCACTCATTTACACTCTTCAATGGATTAATGAACCCGCACATAATCATGTACCATAAACATAAGAAGTTGTATCTTATATTGTTTTCTATGTTTTTAAGAAAAAACTTCAAGAATGGTACATGTGGTTAGCTAAAACTGTCATTTTGGTCGAAATTTTTTTGGACCAGTACCAGAGGTCCAACTTTTTCATTTTGAGGCATGTTTGGTTCGATTTTCTTCGAACTTTTTTATAATGAGGAATTCTCCCCTACTTTTTGCTTTTTCAGTTTTTTTTTTAATTATTTAAAGGGAGAATATCACTGTAGCACATTAAAGTTTAGTCATTTTCCCAATTTGGTCACTAAACTTTTTTTTGCGTAACAGACCATTAAAATTATTTTTTATCTGTCAATTAAGCCATTATTCTCGATTTGAAAAGGTTTATCGGTTACCATTCCTATGTAGATATCTGATGTGTCAAAGATGCTTATGTGGATAGAGATAAATTCCACATGGATTTTTAAATTATATTTTTTATTAATATTTAATTTATTATTAATACTATTATTATTATTATTTAAAATGATCAACGACTTTTATCCACGCCTTCACCAAAAACTTCATCTTCTCAGTTTCTTATTTACTCGCTTGCACTATTGCGTCAAGGGTGCGTTCTCGTCATTCTGTCTGTAAAACTTTGGAATTTAGTGGCAGGTTTTGGGTTTAGCAACCAAACTCTAGGCTACCACCACCATCAAAAGCTACAGTGACATTTTTCCCTTATTTAAATACTTTGATAATTAAAAGAAAAAGAAAATACTCCTCTCTCTCTCTCTCTCATAATCGGGGAATTAACTTAAGAATAAGATGAAAAGGTGTAACAAGAATCAAAGCTCTAACCATGACAGTTACGTCCTATATGAGTGAGATTTTCATAAAATGTAATACAATATCCATTCAAACAAGAAAATATGAAAAAATTTCCATTCAAAATCGGTTAAACAAACAAATAATCTCTTACCAGTTAAACAAACCCCAACAAAATTCTAAATTGATGCAGAGGAAATTGTTCTAACCTTTCAAGTTCCTAAAATTAACATCATTTTTGCTGAATAAAAAAGAAATATGACCACACACCACAAATATCAAACTGAATATGTTTCTTTTTCTTTCTACTGGGTTTGCAGAGTCGACGTCGCTACTAGGGATTGTAGAGGCACCGACAGTTTCTTTTGAAGATTTTGTCACATATCTGGAATGTCGTTATTTTTGTCATCGTAGATATAGAAGATCGTCGTCAATGTTACAACGTTTGTGGGTATGAAAAAACTGGAGCTTCGTCTTTCCAAATCTGAAGATCGTGGCGACCCTAGGGTTTATTGTGGCTCCGGCGACCTCGAGTTTCATCTTTATCCTTCTCCGATGATGGCTACGAGCTACAAGATTCATAAAAGGGAGGAGATGGCAGTTTACATATGTGGTGCAGATCCAATTTCGGCGGTGTAAATTTGGTTTCGGCGGCAACAGTGAAAGATAATGACTGAAATAGATAAAATCACTCCGCCAATGTTAGTTCACAGCAAAGAGGAGGCAACGGTGTTTCGCGTTGTCGAAATCGAGAATGAAGGTTAGGTGGAGTTTCGTCAAGCAGGTGGAAATTGATGGGTAAAGGCAGTAATGGTAACGGTGGACGGTGGGGACGGGGGGTGGTTTAATGACTAGTTGTTCTTGTGTATATGTGAGGTGTTTTTGATTTGAAGAAGATGAGATCAGGAATGAGAGAGAGAGAGAGAGAGGGGACAATTTTTTTTCTTTTGGGAATTTGACTTATTAAGGTAATTAAGTATTTCAAATGTTCACATATCCATAATATTGTTTTTTTTGTACTCATTTACCCAATTAACTTTTTTCATTCGTTCAAAAATAACCAACATTACCGGCTATTACCTGTTTTAGCCGGTAACATTGATTTAGTTGGGTTGAAAACATTATGTGGAATCTTACGTGGCCATTACACCCCTTTCTCATTTAATTAGGGTTCGTCATCATCAGCTAACACACCTCGATTACCTTCTTCTTTGAGAAATCAATCGATACATCAAATCGAAGATTAGGGCTTGGAATTGGAGTCAAATGCTATCATGGCGTCCTCATCTACAGGTATGTATGTATGTATCTGTAGATTTTCATTACAATGGATTCTTTTCGCCAAACCCATTGGTGTACTTAGACCCCATAAAAACAAATGTACGTGATGTGGATTTTGGGGGATTTACGTATAAAGTGTTTCTTTTGTGGCTTACGGAATTAACCAATGGAGCCTGTGATAATGTCTACTACTGTATGAGAAAGGAATGCTTTTGTGAGGGTATTAGAAGAATCAACAGTGATGTTGATTATTGGGACTTTGTGGAAACTGTTTATAGTTTGGAAAGTGATAGTCTTGAGAGTGAGTTAGATGTGTACATTGACCACCGAAATGAACCAATTCTTGATTGGGCTGATAACGAGTTCTTAGCAGATGGTAAAGGGTATGAGTCGGATTATATGGATGAAGAGGATGACAAGGATTCTGAAGTTTCAATGATAATGGAATATGAACATGAATGGGATGATGAAGAGGAACATACTTTTGATAAAATTGTTGGAGACCCATTCTTGGACAAACTTTCAGGGCATATTAGTGATGATGATGAAGAGGAAGCAAACAATGGGAAGCTTAAGGATGTTGTGTTCCCTGTCCATAATGAGAATCAAGAATGGGAGCAAATGGTGCTAGTTTTGGGTATGAAGTTTTCTAATCCATTGTAATTGAAGTTGTGTATCACCAACTATGCAGTCAAAAATGGATATGATTTATGGAATGAGAAAAGTGATCATGAAAGGTTATTGGTAAAATGTTGTAAAGGTAAGACAAATAAACAGGCTAAAGGTTGTCCCTATAGGTTATGGGCAACCTAGATGAGCAGTGAAAAATCATTCCAAATTAAATCTTTAAATGATATGCATAATTGTGCAAGAGTGTTCAAATTTGGGTCCATTGTTACCTATAAATGGATAGCAAAGCATTTCATGAATCATATACTTCATAAACCAAAGATAAGTATAAGGAAGTTGAAAGCTAAAGTTAGCAAGAAATTTAATTTGATTGCAAGTTTTGGTCAATGCAGAAATGCAATGAAGTATGCATTTCATGAGATAGAGGGTACTTTGAAAGAGCATTATGCAAAAACATGGAGTTATGGAGAAGAGATAAGAAGGACTAACCCTGGATCAATAGTGAAGATGGATGTAGATGTCATGCCTAATGGAACCACATATTTCTCAAAGTTTTATGTATGTTTCAAGCGATTGAAGGATGGATGGGTTGAAGGTTATAGGAGGGTAATTGGACTAGGTGGTTGCTTCCTAAAGGGAATATGCAGAGGTCAATTGCTCTCTGCTATAGGTAGAGATGCAAATAACCATATATATCCCATTGCTTGGGCTATTGTATCAATGGAAAGTAAAGAAACATGGAAGTGGTTTATTGACCTTCTAATTGAGAACCTTGGAATGGGAGTTGGGCATGGACTAACCTTGATATCAGATCAACACAAAGTAATCAATTTCTATTATTTCCATCTTTATTTTAGCTTATGTTATGTTTTTGTTGTTTAAGTTATGTGTCTATTGCTAACAGGGATTACTTGAGGCTGTGAAGTAAAGGGTCCCAGCAGCAGAGCATAGGCAATGTGCTAGGCACATATGTGCTAACTTCATGAAAAGGTTTAAGGGCCAACTGTTTAGAAAGCTTTTATGGTATGCTGCTACAGCTACTACCCCTGCAAAATTTGAACAACACATGAATGAAATCAAGAAATTAGAGCCACTAGCTTATGACCATTTGATGGAAAGGGACCCTAAAACTTGGAGTAAAGCATTTTTTCAGACTGGTAGGGCTTGTGATGCATATGAAAATGGTATATCTAAGAGTTTCAACTCTGTGATTGAAGTTTCCAGGAAGAGACCACTAATCACCATGTTAGAAGAAATTTGAATTTATGTGATGGAGAGGCTTTATAGACAGAAGATTAAGGGGCAATCTTGGGATTTAACCATATGTCCTACCATTAGGCTGAAGTTGTCCAAGCTTAAGGATCTTCAAAGGTAAGTGCTTAAAAATGTTTGTCCTTATATATGTTTGTCTTTTAACATGTTTTGTGACAACCGTCAAATTCTGGTCAATTCAAAGTCAAATAAAGTCAACAAGTCAAACCGGTCAACTCAACTAACCCTTGTGTACTAGGGATTACGTTATGTATTTACTAAACAACTCGCTATTCTGATGAGAAATCATAAATCAAAAAGTGCGAACATCTAGATCTCCTTAACCTAAAACTGTGGTACGTGGTGAGCCAAACCGATAAAACAATGTTGCATACTCATCGGGAGTGTGTAAGATCCTTAAACAAGGCTTAACAGGGTTTACAAACCTTGCATTGCGAAGCCGGACACTCACAAATGCCACACATGAAACCTCTCTTAATCGTTTTCACTCTATCTCTTCTTATCAAGAATCTCTCCCAAATCTCTCCCAAATCTCTCTAAGAATGTCAAATCTCTCCCAAATCTCTCTAAGAATATCACATCTCTCCCAAATATCTCTTTGTATGAGAAATCTCTCCCAGTATGTGAAATCTCTCTCAAATATCTCTCTGTATGAGAAATCTCTCCAAGAATGTCAAATCTCTCCCAAATCTCTCTCAAAAGTTTCCGTAACTTTTTGGAGTCATTCCAACCCTTAACCGGGTCAAAAACGGCTTAAAACGGGGTAAAAACGAGTAAAATAGGCTAAAGGACCCGAAACCCTCTTATAAGAGGCGAAACCTCTTAGAACCGAACCTTCTAAGAACCGAAACCAGGAGGACCGAAACTAGGAGGCCCGAACCCGAAGGTCCTCTCAGGGCCGAACCTCCCCCAGGAGGAACCGAACCCGAAAGGTCCTCTCAGGGCCGAACCTCGCCCAGGAGGAACCGAACCCGAGCCCTCGCCTTCGCTTCTCAACTCTGATTCGCCTCCTCTCGCTTCCTCGCCTCCCTTTGTTTCCGGCTACAGTCCTCAGCAAGGACCGAACCTCGGCCTAGGATCGAGAGGTCTCGCTGGGAATGCTTATCTTCCCGGTTTTCGCGTAGTTTTGCATTTATGGCCCGTTTTTAATTATTTTAATGCGGGATTTTCACCCAAAATCATATTTTAACGTAATAAACCCTAAATATTCAAAATTTAATCATATTTTCATAAAAATCTTTATTTAAATAATAAAAGCAAGTGGGTAAAGTACAAAGAGGTGGAGTGTTGACTTTGTTTTACCTTATGACACAAGCAACCACTCTCACACCCACTCTATGACCAGCCACACATCCCCACCTTACCTATGTCACTTCAATGTCCCTTACACTCAATTTCCACTCATTCCCACATTTTTAGAGCTGGAACAAAACATCATCTCTCCTCATTTCTCTCGTTTGCTCTCATTTCACTAAGTATCAAACACCACTTTTCTCTCAAACTTTTTCTCCACCAAATTCGAGATTCAAGGCTGATTTTCAAGCGTTCTTCCACTCTTAGTAAGTATAATTCATCCTCCTTATTATTATTGCACTTCATTCTACTCAAATCATTGATTGCTTACACAAACTCCATAACTATGATGTTAGATTCTCGAAAATCTTCAAGGCATCTCCAAGTGTTCTTGAGTTAAACACTTCCATTCTTCAACAATCATCTACTGAAATCACTTAAGGTGAGTTCATACCCCTACATTTTCATTTTTTCTCAAGTTTTCAGGGGGGGAATACAAGTTAAAACACCAAGAACATAACTAAATTTTTCTAACAACCTTCATCAGAAAATTTCAACTCCATTCACGGACTGCTTTGGGCATCTTAAACATTTTTGTTTTCAAAACTGTACAACGTGAAAATAGTTCAAGTTCTTAGATTTAAAATGACTACTTGAACATCTCCATACGATTTTTCTACAATTTATGGTGATTTTTACAAAACTGACTATCATTTCAAACAACAATCCGGACCAGTCTGTGATTATGGACTTATTCACCCAAGTTGGAGGTCATTAAAAATCGTGATAAAAATTATGAGTAAACTAGACACATTTTTTAAATTCTCAGAACTTACGGATCTAGTTTTCGACTTCGTATGATTTTTCGATGATTTTTCTAAAACAGTGCAGAAAGATTAAGAATTAGTTAACAGCTTCTAACTATCAAAACACTTTGTAACATGTTGAGCAAAGTGTTAAGTCTTTGATGACTTCATATATTTCATGTATTTCTTGTTATGATATATTTGTATATTAGGAAATTACTTACTGAATTTATAAGAATCCTCCATCATAATCATTAGTACAAAACAAAGCAAGTTAAACATAGCTATATTGTACTATACATTTGACTTACATAGAATGGGATTTTTAAACACCACAAAGAAATATACTAAACTATAATAGGTATAGTTAGGGTATATATACATTTCAAACACTTTAATAAACTATAATAGGTATAGTTTATTATCATTTACATAACATACTCGTACAAAAGGGGGTACATATACAAAGTACTGGGTTTTTATACAAAAGAGGTACAAATACAAAGTGTCGGGTTTATATATAAAAAGGGGTACAAATACAAAGTGCTGGTTTTATACAAAAAGGGGTACAAATACAAAGTGTCGGGTTTATATACAAAAAGGGGTACAAATACAAAGTGCCGGTTTTTATACAAAAAGGGGTACAAATACAAAGTGTCGGGTCTTTATACAAAAAGGGGGTACCGATACAAAGTACCAGGTTCACTTAAAATAGTTATTATGATATTAAAACTATATTTCATCTAGAATTGTTAGACTTCAACTATAATCGCTGAGCGTACATGTTTGAGTCATATAAGAATTTAGTCTTGATTGGCCTAGAATTGGTGGTGCCCGCCTCATCTCCTGTTCCTCGTTGGGTTGTGGACCTAGGGCAGACCCACTATATTCAACGTTTTATCTAATTTATACCTTATATAACTTATATACGCTGGACGATTATAGAGGAACTCTACGGGTCATTCTAGGGTTCATTAATGCATCATATAGGAATATTTCTATTCACACTTAACTAAGAAAATATTAGATTTTCTGGAAATCAAACTATATCGATTTTACAAGGAAAACGGTTTCTACTTCAAACAAAACTCTTATGAACTCACCAACTTAATTGTTGACACTTTTCAAAACTACTTGTATTCTCAGGAAATCAGTGAAACAGGAAAACTTCATCGCTTTGAGGATGGGACGTTAAACCGTCAACAATTTATTTTTGTCATCATAATGTAATTGATTTTGAATCATGTAAACATATACTTTGGTGTAACTTTTTCAATTATATTTATGATGGTTGTATTTACTTTGAGCACTATTATATTCGTTGTTGTGATACTGTACATGAAGTCCTCCACCCACGGACGTTTCCGCCATCCTTGGTTTAGGGGTGTGACATGTTTGTCCTTATATATGTTTGTTTTTTGACATGTGTATATGGACAGATTTTGGAAAGTAATACCATCTGGTTATCAACAGTATGAATTCAGACTTGGGTATGATGCATATGTTGTGGATATTGGTAGCAGCCTAGCAGGACATGTGCCTGCAGAACTTGGCAGTTAACAAGTTACCCTTGTGTGCATGGGTATGCTTGCATTGCAAGCCTCAACAAGGATGTAGAGGAGTATGTGTCACCACGGTTTACCACGTCAATGTATCTAAACTGTTACAGGTATACCATTAACCCACTAAATGGTAGTGACATGTGGCCTCAACCCTCATGTAGACTACATCAGCCCATTACCCCCCAAAAGGAGAAGGCTACCAGGAAGACCATCAACAAAAAGTAAAAGGGATCAGATTGAGAAGGAAAACCAAGGAAAAAAGCATTCAATCACAAAAAGAGGAAGTGTGATGAAATGCAGCATATGTAGGGAAAGTGGGCATAATAGAACAACTTGTCCTCAGAAACCAATTGGGGAATCATCAAATGCAAGTTCAAAGAAAAAAAAATCCAAGAAAGTTGGTATGTTTGATATATTTATTTATATATAACTTGTATAACTTAACATATTTGGCATAACTTAACTTTTCAAGTAATGCAAAACAGGTAAAGTGAAGGTTGCATTGGCACATGAAGTTGATATTGACAGTGACAGTGAAGTTGAAATAGAATCTGAAAGTGATGTTGACTCTTTTAATCTTGAATTTGAAGATGATGTGCAACCTGAAGTTGAAGATGGAGTAGAACCTGAAGTCCAAGATGGAGTGCAACATGAAGTTCAAGATGAAGTGCAAGCTGAAGTTGAACCTAAAATTCATCCTGAAGTTCATGATGCTAACCAAGTTGAAGTTCACCTTGCAGTTCAAGCTGAAGTTGAACCTGAAAATTCATCCTGAAGTTCATGATGCTAACCAAGTTGAAGTTCACCCTGCAGTTCAAGCTGAAGTTGAACCTAAATTGCAAGTTCAAGTTGAAGATGCTAACCAAATTATAGTTCAAGATCAAGTGGAAATACCAGCTTTTCAAGTTGTAGTGGGAAAGAGGGCAATGAAACCTTCAGAAAGAATTACAAAACTGAAGATAAGAAAAATATGGGAGGGAAAACAGGGAAGCAGTGATGACAATCAGTATGAGTTGGATTAACTTTTGGCTTATTGTACTGTTGTTAATGTTTTTGGCATCTTTGACTGACATCTTTTAACTTTGGAATCTTTTGGCACATCTTTTGAAAATTAGTTGGAATAGCTTAAATGCATGTTTAAGTGTGTAGTGTTTAAATTTTTGCACATCTTTTGGGTGTAATGAATGTTTAACTATGTTATGTAAAACTTTTGACACATCTTTCAAAGTCAATGTTCCCCGGCATGTTTATAATGTATTACCATATTTTGCACATGTTTCTAGTACCATTTGTATTGTTTATAATTTATTACCATCTTTTAGAATATCAACTGTAATCACAATTCCATTACAGTGTAATCACAATAACATTACAAGTTTTGTACACTACCATTCCAATGATTCAATTCCATTAACATGTTTATTACTATCTTTTGTACTACCAAGTTTAATAACAATTCCATTACAACGTACAATTCCATTACAATGTGCAATTCTATTCCAATGATTGAATATAACCTTTTTCATTGAAAACATCACAAAAACATACATAATTTAGTCATACTACATCATAATACATAATTTAAAACAACATTTTGACATACAAGAGAAACAAGAAAATTAATTCAAGTCTATGGGTAAACAATTTCCAATTGACTTTGTCAAGTTCTTGTTTATTCTTGTTCTTCTCTTCTTTAGTCTTCATCCTGCATATGTTGATTTCATTCTCCAAGGTACAAATTTTCAAGGTAAGATTGCAACTTTCTTCTTCTTACATCTTGTAATGCCTTCTTCCATCTTTCCTCCATTCATCCTCATCCAACCATTGCCAAAAATTACAGCTTGGACTTTTTCCATTCTTCAAGAAATTTATAAAAACATGTTAAATTGAAAGATAAAGAAGAAGTAAAAAAATATGAATTACCAGTGAGTTTTGATAAAATCTGAATTTCCTTCCAGGATTGCCTGGGGTTCTTGATGTCTTCACACGAGATGGCAAGTCACAATCACATGGATGATCCAGTTGTAATTCGTCTTGTCGTTTGGAAGAAAAGGATGAGGAAGAAGATGTCATCGATCGATCGATCTAGGGTTTTAATTAATAAGCAGTCGTATCTCACTCTTCTTATAATGTAAACACTTCTCAATGCCACGTAGGTGATGAGTATTGCAGCGTACAAGCCACGTAGATGACACATCACCCAAAACCTACAATAACCGGTAAAGTTGGTTATTTGTGAACGGGTGAAACAAGTTAGTTGGGTAAATGAATAAAAAAAACAATATTACCCATATGTGAACATTTGAAATACTTAATTACTTTAATAAGTCAAATTCTCTTTTCTTTTAATCATAAAGGTATTAAAATAAATAAATAAAAACTGAAAAAGTAAAAATAAGGACATATTCCTCGTTATAAAAAAGTTAAAAAAATATTAGACGAAACTCGCAACAAAATAAATAGTTTGACCTTTAATGTTAGAACAAACCCTTTTTTTTACCAAAGTGATAATTTTCAGCTAACCGTATGGACCATTTTTGTAGTTTTGTCTGTTTTTAATTGAGTTAGTTGGTTGAGGAAGATAGAATTTTCATGTGTTGTGGATTTAAAAAAATGAAACAACATAAAAGAGACAAACTAATATGGCAATGTGTTGAATTGGTTGGAAGGGAATGTCTCCCTCTACCCTTACATCATAAAGTGTCATACAACAATCACCACAACACTGTTGCAACTTGCAAGATCACATCATCATCACATCAATTTTTTTCATCACCCTACAAAACCGGTGGATTATAGACCACACCTTATCACACAAACAACAGACAACACATACACTCCAATGGTAAAAAAAATAAAGAGAAATTGTGAGGTAATAGTTTCGCGTGCGGTATCCTTACCGCGGTCCAACGAAGGGATCGGTGTTATGTTCACCACGCACTGCGGTGCCACCTCAGCCACTCGGTTATACCAAGCGACCCTTAGGGGACCAACCTTTTGATTACTTTACACAGTCAAAGCAAAGCGCGTCACTCGTCACAAAGACAGCAAAACTGACATGTGACTCTTGTCATTTTTTATTTTTTTTCCTTTTCCCGTCACTTTTCCCCGGTTAGGATCCACCAAAACCCCAATTTATCCGCTTTTTACCAAATCCTGTTTATACGGGTCGGATATACACTAAAACCCAGTTTATCTACTTTTTACTATATAGTTTGTATACGGTCAGATAGACGGATACACACAAAACCCAATTTATCTAACTTGCTTTACACTTTTAGAAAACAACTATTACTATATACATATAATTAAAGCAATTTAAGAACTCGCAAAACATAAAACATCATCTTAACCAATCAAATTTTCCACATAATTACATGCAAAACTGACAAGAATACACAGTTTCTGAAGATTAAAGAACAAACCATTTATCTTTCTATACACTATTACTACAAACAATATAAACAATAACGAAACAAAAGAATCAATAAAATTGTGTTCCCAACCTAATACAAGGTTAAAACATGCTACATCTCATTATACATCAAAAAAATATTGTTTGGCTCTTATCCTATCGAGTAAAATAAGTTCTAAGTGCCAACCACTCCATATTATTAAGTTCACTTAATTGGTTGTTAATGGTGACTTACTTTACTCTGATAAATTTTTTATTTTTATCACCAATCAAATACTTTTTCATTTATGTACCTTGAACCTCTTGTGGTGTACTGAATCTTATCTCCATGAGCTCAAAATTTGTGGTCTGGAAATTAATAATTCCATTTTCACCCTTTTTAGTACGAAAACTCAAGCCCTCTGAGTGATATATACTTCTTTACCCATATGGCAATATCTTCTGCACATGCTTGAGCTTTAGGTGTCTTCAAAAACATCTCAAAGGTTGCAAATTCATGAACAGCATCTTTGTAATCATAAACAGGGGCATCTACATTAACCTGGCGAAGCTCCTGTGAGTATGCAATGGCACGATCACGCATCCAATCATGTTCAGCTACTATTGTGAGTGTAGGAGGCATGTGTTTTAATGGTATTCTTTTAGCTGTCATCAGAGGGTTGGCAGCTGGATGATCAAGATTGAATTGATCATCAGGTAAGAAAAGCTTCCAGGCTAACATGGCCATGGTTCTGTCATAGAGGTAAGAGTTAGCTAGCTTGATTTCGGATTTTGTTGGAGTGTTTCCGATTACAAAAGGGTACATAAGAACTTGTGCCACCACTCTTACAGGGTCTAATAGGTTCCCAGCTTCTACTGCTTTTTGTGTGACATAATTTGCGATGTTTGAACCAGAGCTTACACCTAGGAGGACACACCTGTTAATGGCAATAAAACCAAGAAGAAATCAATACATTGTTTTTGCCTTTCATTGAGGATCTGTGTGATAGAAAGATTCGTGTGGAGTGGTATACAAGTTAACAGATCGTAATAAGTGTATTTAACCATGGAACAGTTAGGATTGTGCCCAAATCGGAATAGATTCTAAGAGATAATTAAGGACTTGAATTCAATTCTTGAAGCTTTGTTACCTGGAAAGATCGGCATGAGCAGCAATCCAAGGCTCGATCATGGAAGAACCAAAACCATCAACGATCTGTCTCCTCCTGAGGTTAACGCGACCTGAGATCCTACACTCGGCCAAATTCGCCTGCTTAGCTAACCAACTCAACGCCTCAACGCCATCCTCAAACGCCGCGGGATACTTACTCTCCGGTGCAAGCCTATACCCTACCGCCACCACAATCGCATCACACGCCTTGGCGATCCTCCGACAAAACAGATCATTCGCCAACGAAACACTGCTTCCGGTCACAAATCCACCTCCGTGAAACTGCAAAACCACGGGCAATTTACGTAAATTATCGCCTAGAGCTGGCGAGTAGCCACCGTAAACCCCATCACTTTGTTTTAAACCCCTGGATTTGGCAAGTACTGAATCAGGGAGAAAGATCCGGAGGGTTAGAGATGTCAATGGATCGATATGGATATCTTTGGTAGCTACACCGTCTTCAGAGAAGCTAGGGTTGGCCGGAGCGACGGATTCATCGGGGCGAGAGACGACACCGAATTGATTGAAGATTTTGGTGTGGGTTTCAGTGAGGGTTTGCAATTGGCGTTTCAAGATGAATTTATGAAGAACACTGTAGAATTTTACAGATACAGACGGCATGTTGAACAAGGAATCAAAGAAGATTTGGTAAAGAACATTTGGGGGGAATTTGGGGATTAGTTAGGGTTTTAAGGTGATAGAAGAGACTTGTTCAATTCAAAATTGGGGAAGAAGGTTCGAACATGGTATTAATAAATTAATTGAAGTATATACAGGCGTAGGTGCGTGGGTGTGTTATTTTTTCTACAAGGGTAGGCTGCGTTGCATGGTTATATTTCTAGACGCCTGATGATTCTTACGATTAGTCGATTACTACTTTCTTGGAAAACTAATAATAATCATTATTTATAAGACCACATGTATGTATGTGTTGAATTTTAATAGATTAATCAAAAATATATTTAATCAAACTAGTAACTAGTGTTTTCGGTTTGAAATTTTGGTGAACCAATTAACTAACGATGTCCTAAATATTAAATAATACTTAGATTAGAAACAAGTTTCTAAAGTTAAGCGATGCCTTAAATTTTAATAAAATAAACAACAATTATATGAATTCCTTCAACCGAAATGAGTTTTTCACTTTTAAGAATTTTTTTGATAACCTAAACTTACAAACTGATGTGTCAATTGGTTAAGAAATGGTCTTGTAAATATGCTTAATAGATATAATTATGATCATAATTGTTGGTGTCATTATTTTAAATTTTAGATGATTGACAAAGCACAGCAAAGCAAACCCATAATTTTATTTGTCAATAATCAATATTAATATTTATTTTGAATGATTAATGTTTGCAAAAATATGGTACACCGACATCGTTGTTTCATTGCATATTGACATGCATTTCCGTTATAAGTACTATATATATTATCGCACGTCTTTTGTATAATATTTCTACAAATCTGGTGTTGCATTTGTTTGTATACTTGTGTCCTTGTAGGATGCCAAGTATTTAATCTTATTATCAAATACCGTTATTCTGTTTTCAAAAGTCTTGAAAACATCATCATATGATAATTACAAGGTTAATAACTATTCATAAAAAACAATAATAAAAAATTGGAATCTTTTTTTGAACTCTTATATGATAACACAAAGGCTCAAATTAAAACAGCTCCAATACACACACAAGAACGACTCTCTTAAGTGGCAAAATTCCCCAAAAAACATTTATTTTACATCTCCAAAATGACAAAGTACAACACTAAAACAGCAATGGATCAAAACCCACAAATTTATGTTAGTAAAATTCATACCTCAAAGTAACAACGGGTCACAAGAAGCAAGTCATCAAAATTACTGATAACTGACACCATCACCGCTTATAACTTCACCAATACGATACACCATCCCACCTTCCTTAAGTACCCTTTCAGCAGCCTCTTTGCTAACAACCAAAACCATCCCAATTCCCATATTAAAAGTCCTCTTCATTTCACCATCTTCAATCCCTCCAGCCTGGAAAAGGGCAAAACCGGAAACATCAAAATAAGCAACTTTTTTTAATATTAAAAGAACTTAAAATACCTTTTGGATCCATTTAAAAACAGGGGGGACCGGCCAAGAGTTGTTATAAACAAGAGCACCAAGCCCTTTTGGGAAAACACGAGGGATGTTATCTGTGAAGCCGCCACCTGTTATGTGTGCAATTCCTTTTATGCCCTTACTGCCCTCTTTGCTTATGATATCAAGCACTTGTTTTACATATATTACAGTTGGTGCCATTAAGGCTTCCGCTAATGTGACTGATTCTTCACCCGGGAGTTTGTCTTTCAAAGAAAGCCCACTTCTCGCTAGCACCCTATAACAAACAAAATATATAAACAACGAAATGTATATGTCACATTATAGACTAAATTACATTTTTGGTCCCTGAGTATAGCTGATTTATACAATATTGGTCCCAAAGTTTTCTTTGCCAAATTTGGTCCTTATTTGACATTCTTGTAACGTCTTTGGTCCTTGTTCCAATTAAAATGACTATTTTTGGTCACTGATTATAGCTGAATTTGGCAATTTTGGTCCCAAAAATATATAGTCCTTTTACTTGGAATAGGGATAAAAAATGTTACAAAAACCTCAAGGACCAAAAGTGCAAGACAACTCTTAGGGACCAAAACTGAAAAAGTAAACTATATTCAAGGACCAAAAATGTAATTTTCTCTATATTATATAAAGAGTAAATTACATTTTTGGAACCAAAGTTTGTTCAAAAACTGCAGTTTTGGTCCCATATAGTTTTTTTCTTACAATTTTGGTGCCTATTTTCAATTGTTGCAACAATATTGGTCTTTGAGTTTGTTCAAAAACTGTATCTTCAATAGTTTCCGTTTGCAATTTTGCTGTCTATAGGGACCAAAATCATTACAACAATTGAAATAGGCACCGAAATTGCAATAGTAAACTATTTGGGACCAAAACAGTAATTTCTGAACAAACTCGGGAACCAAAAATGTAATTTGGTCTTATATAAAGAAAGTTTGAATTCTCAAACCACCTTCGAACAAGTGAGAACCCATTTGAGTGGACCCCACTAGATGGGAGGCCAATAAGCACATCTCCAACTTCAATATTCTTCCCATTTATAACCGACTCCTTTTTCACAATTCCAACTGCAAAACCACTAAGATCATATTCTCCTTCTGCATAAAAATCTGGCATTTCTGCAGTCTGAAAGACAGAAAAAAAAAGTCAACAACAAAGTCAAACCTAAAGAAAAGTACGTTGCTATTATTGTACTACCTCTCCACCCAAAAGAGCACAGTCAGATTGTTGGCAACCATCAACAATTCCTTTTATAACCTTTTCAGCAAGATCAACATCAAGGCGACTTGTTGCATAGTAATCAAGGAAGAATAAAGGCTTTGCTCCAGATGTGATGATGTCATTCACACTCATTGCCACCAAATCAATTCCAATGGAATCATGGATTCCAGTCTCGAATGCCAGCTTAAGTTTGGTTCCTACACCATCTGTACCAGCTACAAGATACGAATCCCCTAAAAACAAAAAATAATAATATGAGAAAAGTGTGTATTTAATTTTTAATAGCAATAAATAAATAAAAAATACCAAGTGGAAAAAGGCCACCAAAGCCTCCAATTCCAGGGGCCATTTTGGCAATCCTGCGTACAAGCTCTGAACCAGCATCTATGTCAACACCAGCTTCTTTATATGTAAGGCCCTCTTCATGATTGCTTTTAACCACACATGAAACTCCATTTTTTGTATGTCTTCTGAATGATAAGTTTGTAGGTTTCTTAGACAAGTAAGAAAGCTTGTGTGTTGTTGCAGAAAAGGGAGAGGTGTATGATGATTGATGACAAGAGGGCTTGATTGCGTACTTGGATGTCTCTAGATTTGATCCAAATGTTGTGGTGTTCATGATGCCAAAAAGATGCTGAAAGATAGTTGGTAGATTAATATTGTTTTATATAAGTTATTATTGATTTTTTTTTTGCATGGCTTATAATTTTGACCTCTATTGATCTGTTAAAATTGTTGTTGTCGAAAACGTCGTTTTATTTTCTATGCGTGGGTACTAAAAAACTGAAATATCAAATATAAATTACGACTTTTTCCATAACAACCAGATTAATCAATCACAATTTACGGATGTTTGCCTAATAATCAGGATACACTATCAAGAACCCTTCATTCACTTTGCTTTTCCAATGTCACATATGCCTTAATCGCCTAATTTTCTCAAATACAACAGTTTCGTAGTTCACATATAGCAATACTTTCCAAATTCTACCAATGTCTGCTAGACCCTTGCATGTAATCTGAAACTAATATTTCGTGCATGTCAATTATTCTTCTGTCTTCTTCTTTTAAATTTGGTTATAGAGCTTTAAAACCACATATACATTGGTCGATTTACGAATTTTCTCTATAAGTATGTAATCTTATACACAAATTCTTAAAATTTTCACCAATATTAACTTACTTTTTTTTTTGCTAACTACGTCATCCATCATCAACAGAGGAGATATAACACCTCATCGACCAACATATAAATGAAAAGAAACCACGGAAATTTGGGTCCTTAGATAACAGAAGAAAACGTTTGACCGGAGAAGGCGTACCTTTTGATTGTGGTGTTATAGAAGACGAAAGTGCGAGCGCGGAACAGAGTGACCGAAGTGTCCGGAGGAGAAGGAGGGATTCAGCACAGGGTTGAACCGTGTTGAAGCCCTAACTTGGTGGTTTAGCCGTTACCGTTAGCGAATCAGATTATAAAACAAGTTCAGTTGTGAAGCCCAATTTTTTCAAACCCTAAAACGCCCAAAGCCCAAACAACTATAATTCTCAATTCCAACCATGTTTATTATCTTCCAATTATTTTATGGTATGATATTTACTTTTAGAGATAACGAAAAAAAATAGTAATGTCATCTATTTATATCTAACATGTTTTTAACATATTTTTTAAAATGGAATACGTCCAAAACTCCATATTTTGGACACTTAGCCGTTTTGGATTCTACTGTATATTATATTATATGGACTTCAAAGTATATGTTCTCTTGAAAGACATTTTTACTTGAAGGACTAGGTGAAGCTTTGGTGTGAGCCTAGAGGAATGGTGATGCATTCTCAATTAAGTAATTCAAGCCCTCAAATGTTCATACACGAACAAAGAAATCATCTCTTTCGTAGATGTTATTGTTATATTCAAACTAGGTTGTTAGTTTCGTAGATTAATAATAGTGTTAATGTGGTTGCTCGGGTCCTCCAAACAAAGATTAAGATTGTGGTATTTTCATTGATTTGATGAATACCTAATAGTTGGTACAAGGAAAACTTTTTGAAATGCATAAACAGCTGAATGAGATAACGGAGTAACATCCTATTGACCCAAATGTTCAAAAACCAATTAAAGCAAACAACTATAACTTGGTGCTTCTGGTTAGGGTTTTGATATTTTTTTGCGTGACTTCCATCATTTTTAGTGTTGTTTAAGACTAAACATGCAATGTTCTTATACTAATTAGTTGGATGTAATTGTAATTGCAAACTTGTATGTATATGTAAGGTCCATGTATCATTTTCGAATGAGGAATCAAAATGAAAAAAAAAAAATGTTTTTGCATGAAAAGGTCATCTTAGTCTTTATATGACAAATGACATATTAGTGTTTATGTTAAGACATCGATCATCAAATTCTCTTGGGGAAGAGAAAGAAAGAGGGAGGGGAGGGGAGGGGGGGGGGTTTGAAGCTTAACATAAAGGCAAAACATTGTCAATTCATTATTTGGTTTTGAATATTTAACACACCCTAAATCAATGACTTCCCATCAACAAACCTTTATTTTGATATTTAAAGTTTTTTTTTTCAAAACAAATGTTCCCAAGATGATCCTTTACAAGTTTATATCGATGTTTTTGTGCTTCAACTTTTAAATCTTTTAGTTTTTTATTTCTTAGGATGGATGTTAGGGTATTAAACCCAACAAATATAAATGGGTGCAATATACTCCAAAAAAAATTTCTATTGTGCACTAAAAAGTAGTACAAGACAAGCAAAGTTGATCCTCAAAGATAGAGGACTAATGTTTATACTTCTTTACAAGTTTATATCGATGTTTTTGTGCTTCAACTTTCTAAATCTTTTAGTTTTTTATTTCTTATGATGGATGTTAGGGCAATAAACCCAACAAATATAAAAGGGTGCAATATACTCCAAAAAAAAAATTGTTATTGTGCACTAAAAAGTAGTACAAGGCAAACAAAGTTGATCCTCAAAGACAGAGGACTAATGTTTATACTTCTTTACGCAAGGTACAAATTAGTCACCCAAAAGGGGGGGTATATTTGCAAGATATTAAAGAAACAACTGAAGGAATAACAAGGTGAAAGACAATTCAGAAATGTAAAGGTTCCAATGCTATGTTTGACTATGTATGTATTGCAATTCAATTGTGAAATGGCATTAACTTTAACTTTATCTAAGTTGGTACTTAGAGCATTAACAAGCTCTAACACTCCCCATTCACCAAGATGTTAAATTCAAAACAAGCTATTTATTTCTGCTACATGTGATGCATAAAGTTTGAGTGGGCCGGATTTGGGAAAAAAAAATAGTGAAATACATAGGGTTTTCAATCTCATAATGTTTTAATGATAATAATTCTACAAAACCAATTTTTATCAAACAATATAAGGATATTTGTAAAAAAAAAAAATTACATTTGGTACCTATCTCGTCGATTTTCACATACTGATCCTATAGCAATGACCTTTAAGATCTAACATGATGGATCACTATAAGCAACGAGTAGACCCTACTACATTGGGGATTCCTCAACAATATCAGTCAATTGCAATGTCCCATTTCACAATTTTTTTTTATTTTTAATTGAAATAAAACACAATTTCCATAAACCCAATTTAAGAAAATCGTTAATACAATTGTTTGAAAATCAGAGTAATATAATAATGCGGAATCTTTAATGCTGCTGATGAGTGTGTACACTCACGCCTTCGTCTTCCCACGATCAACATGGGTACCTAAAAAACATTTAATCCACAACTATAAACTAGAGCTTAGTGAGTTCCCCCAAAATACAACACACCACGATATACATACAATGCATGCACACACGAGCCTTCAGTCTGACTAGACCACCTCGTGAAGCCTACAGTACACTTGGACCTCTGGTCCATGACTGGTCCTCCTCCTATACCTACAGCATACAGTTGGTCTGCACCTGGCCTACAAAACACCGCTGGCCCTCCAAGGTATCTTGGCCTACAATACAAAGTAGGACCGCCTCAACCTACCATCTAATATGTCGACATATAAACAGTCAAACAAGAACATAACCATATGCAACTATCTACAGTAGTCTACCTGTCTAACAACTCATTATGGCATACCGAGCCTCATACAATGCTCTACTTCAGTACTCGAAGATCACTAATGAATGCATAGCTATATGAATTTAGATGTGAGATAGACAATCGAATAGGTGATCCCACTCTAGAGCCACAACCAAACAAGGAAAATGAAAGAAAGCTTATATCAAGAGTGCTTAGGTTATCCTACATAACTGCATACAACCCCTAGGGCATTCAACTAGATGTTCACCAACCCCTAGTACTCTAACCAACATAACACTACTCTTATATCCTAACATATAAGGACATATATATTGTAACACATAGTATAGTGAAGAAACTCACTTGAATCAAAAGACCCAAGGAAACACAACAACACGCTCATCCCTGCACTATGGATTAACTAGCACCAAGAAAATATATAACCTTAATTAATAACACAATTCCTTCAATTTTGACCCAAAGTCAAATTAGTCAAAAATTCAACAGTCAACGGTTAACAAAAATCAACGATCAACCAAGTCGACTCCCACCATGACGTAGAGACCTTTTAGCCATGTCTTAGGCACATCAAGACAAAACAATTGATAATCTGAACACCACCACAACGTGGGTCTTCCTTGGCCATGTCGTCTTCTCTAGCAGAATACCCTTTTCTTCACTAATAGCTTAATCCCTAAAGAACAAGGCTCATAACATCAAATCTGATACTTAATAGCTTCATAATGGATACAATTTTCCAACTTGATCTATTAGGATGGTCCAAACAACTAAGATCTAAACTTTAAGTCTCAAAAGGATCAACAATGCATCTTTCTCAACCTAATCCATTAAATCAAAGTATCCAACCTTCAAACCTAATTCCTTATAATGTCTAAATGGATAAAGTTTCCAACTTTATCCATTAAGAAGCTCCAAACAATAAAGATCTAAAACCCTAGATCATAAGATGTACAAAACACACTTTTATTCATGCATGGAGTAAAGAGACTTTTTGCATGTACTCTCTACTCTACCAAATGACCGGATATGAACCCAAACATTACTCAAAAGATCAAGAGTTCTCTAATATGGAACAAGCCTCAATTAGGACTAAAACTCACTAAAATGGACCAAAACACTAAACACGCCTATATCAAAAGATGAAATGCAATAAAGCTTGGAACTTTATGACTTAAAAAGGTCTAGAATGTAGATGAAAGTTGAGATCTTCAATTACCAATCTTCAAGGATCAATATCGCATGAAAGCATCACTCCAAAACCACCAAAACGCTCCAAAAATAGATGAGATAAGAGAGGGGAATCTCAAAGTGGTGAAAGGGAAATTAGGGTTCATGGGCTTGGGATGCACAACGGCTGCCTCGTGGTAACCTGCGTGCCACCTCATTGAAACTCTCACCCCGTGGTAACGGGTTTTCACCCTTTTGCATCCCAACTTCAAATAACCATAACTTATTCGTTTCAAGTCCGTTTGTACCAAGTGAGACAAAAGTGTCACCGATTGTAGATTAGAAATCAACGTAGACAAACAAGTGTAATAGGAAAACAATGTAATACTTCTATATACTAATAAATATGTTTGATTATGTCCTTACTATAAGCGATTATTCGACTAATAGGCTCAGAAATAAGTGCGCGAAAAGTCGTGTCATCTTATAAGCAGGTTAACACATTTAAAATGTACGCTTCAACGTGATTCCAAAAATATAAACTTTATAAAAATCCAACAGATCATGTAGGAGATCTAATTTGTACTATATATTAAAAAAATCAACCACATATAAAAAGTTAACACGTCAAAATTTACGAGGAGAACGGTTGACTTCTAGCGAAAGTCGTCCAAAGGAAAAACATAGTACTACTCAAAGTAGGAATTTTGAGACAAAAATTTTGAAAAATGGAACCAATATGAGAAAGTTATTAAAACACTAAACAATTGTTTAAGTTATTAATTAATATACTTGCTACGATTGTTTTGATCAATATTGTTGTGTTTATATTAGTATGTTTATTCAATTAATATAATTGGTTATTCTAGACATCAATAGTTAATCGTGTTATGGGAATGACTATGACATAAGACATCAAACATTCGAAATTTACAAACTAGAAAGTCATGACCATGAGTTTATATTTCTCTAAGCTGTAATTTTTGCCTATACCTAATATAAAAATTGCACATGAGGCCCTTGTTAGATACGTCTCATCCAGTAGCTATCTCTGACGTTTTGGGTCGTGTTCCAAATATCGGCCTAGGCAGCCGATTAATCGGCGCTTAGCGCTCCTCTACCGTCGAGGTTTATAGCTAATCAGCCCCTATTATCGGATGTGGTCAAAACCAGTCAAAGACGGAGATTATCGGGTCTAGGTGGCCTTATCGGTCAACTAAGGTCAACGAAAATTTAAAAAAAAATAATGATAAAAGTGTCAACGTGATAGAATCTTTGCCAGGGTTCCGTCACATTCCATCACATTCGTCTCTTTTCTTTTTTTAAATTCTCTCTGTAGTCTCAAGAAACGAACGAAGGAATGAACTGAACTTCGGCACCATTTTCTCTTCATCCGACACCATCTTCTTCTTTCATTCACGTCATTGCAGTCCACCAGCCGTCGTCCTTGAAGCTCTTTTACAACAATCGCTGCCATCCGAAGCTTCCACAACAACCGCCTCCTATGATGTCATCTTCTCTTCCTTCAACACCGTCGTCTAACCTCCTAATCCTGCTGACACATTGTCGTTATGTGCAAAGGTT